CTGCTTGTTTCTTCCAGCGCTGATACTGCTAAAAAGTCTTCGGGTTTTTCCGTCTATTTCATCTGGTCCCTAAAGCTAACTCCAAAAAACTTACAGCACCAGCTCGCGAAAATCATGCTCCGCATCCGCTTGGTCGCCTTCTGCAGGCACCCGCTCGGCCAGCTGTGGTACCTCTTCTGCCGCCTGTGCCACTTCTTCAGGCTGAGGCACCTCCTCCTTCTTTAGTTGTGCAACCTCCACGTTGTGTTGCTCGGGTGCCGGTTGTTCCGTCTCGGCCACTTCCACCACTATCTCCTGCATGACTCCGGCCACGGCCTCTTCCCTTTCGCGCTTCAGCGCCCAGGCAGATAGGAAGTTCCTGGGCTGCCCCCCGGCATATGGTTGCATGGGGTTCAGCAACAGGAGTCTGGCCGTCAGATCTTCTATCGTCGTGTCCCTGTTCCTTCCCTCCTGCTGAAAATAAAATTGTTTAGTTTTTTGTTTAAATTCTTTTTATGTGCAACCTCTGTTTGTTTTCACATGTGTTTATGTACGTGCGTGGGTGGATGAGTGAGGGAGAGGGTCAGATAGGTGGAGGGTAGGAAACTTGAATTCAATGCTTTTACCTATGGATATTTTGCCACTGGATTCAAGTTACAAGTATATTTCACTAAATAAATTCCCATGCTTTTCTCTGGCCCAAACTCAGTTTTACACATACGTATAGTCTTACCAGTTTTTGTATTTCATTTTCAGTTTTTCCGACAGGCATTGGGCAGCAGTTGAGTAGCACTGCTGTAGTGCAGTAGATTGAAGATTCGACTCAGCTAGTGGGATAATTATTCCCTCTAAGGCTCATTCATTCGTTCTAGCGGTAAATTTGTACTGGCATTTGTCAAAGAATCCACTCTCAAGGATGTTACTATTTAGAGATTGCAATAATACGCATTGGCATCACCGCGGCTACTATTCGTTAACCTGCACTAGCACTGACACTAAATTAAAAGCTTACTTGCTCGATGTATTTTACCAGCGTGTTGCGGTACATCGGGTATGCCCGCAAAAACTGCAATAAATCGTCCATGGTGGGCAGCTTCGGCCCATAATTAAGGATTTCAGCCATTCTTCTCCAAACTTGAAGCTCGGAACTGTAAAAAGAAAACTCCATGGGTAAATAAATTTACAGCTAAGACGCGCGGCTAACTGGTTGTAGCCGTTATTAACGCCGCTCTTAGTAGTGCGTTGCCAAAAAAATGTCTGGCCCTACACACGTAATTAGTAGCATCAGAAGGTGGACAAAACATCATCCATACATTCTTAAAATGCTTGATCTTAGATAATGATTTCGTGAGATCCTCCTTTCGTGCATAAGGTCGCACAAAATCCATTGCTCGGGTGTTAAATTTAATGGGCTTAAAAGTTGACTTCAGATATAATTACCTACACATGGACATGGATCATGTTCAAAACATAAGCTACCACGCATCAGGTCTGCCCGTGCGGTCATGCGTATTTACTCTAAAAACTCACAGCAGCCAGTTTGTAACAACATGAATAATTCTTGCGTTACAATTTAACACGCGGAGACGTGCTGGTTGTGTTTTGGCGTTTTCCTACATGCAGTAGAAAAAAGAGGTTGGCTACGACAACAGTATTGCATCATTTAGCCGCAAAACCCCCTAGCGTACATGACTATCAATTTTGCACAAAGACCAGATCACTTTCCTGGTGAAAGGTCGTTCGTCGGAAAATGTAAATTTGAAGAAAGTCGGAAAAGATTGTGGAATCAACAAGATGCACTCCATTTCGAGTTTGCGACAAAATTGGGCTTTTGTTGTGCCTGCGTTTCAGAGAATTTCACACCAAGCTGAGCTAAGATCAAACGTGGAATAGAATATCTGTGCAAAGGCTCTGCTTCGCTGCCTGTCCGGTAAGTGAGTTCCTCCCGCCCTTGAAATTGTTTTCCAGGCACAAAAATCTGCACATCTTTTCGATGTCTGTCCCTGAGACCCACACGCACGTGAACGATGATTTTAGATCGTAAGCTGAGAACACGCTCCCCATATTTCTGCCTGCCAGATTTGCTGGTTACTAAATTGAAAGCGGGTGGCGAAGTTGATACAGGATTCGCTTGCTCAGGCATGAGATTCATAAAAAGAAGTAAGTAAATGACGAAACCGTAAAAAACAATAAAAGCCGAAATAAGCAGTGTGCTGAGGTACAAATAAATGACAGAAACATATACAATAATAAAAGCGATGCATGCGGTATGACATGCCAGCGCGCGAAGGAACGATGATCTTGTCTACGCCCAAGTACAAGGAACAGCAAGCCCAAGGAACGACGATCATGTTTGATCTACGCCCAAGTCTACGAGCCTTGTCTGTCGAAAATCTAGACATTACTGGCAAAAAAGTCATGATAAACAGTTGCACACCTTCTATGAAAAAGTAGTAAAATAAGTGGTTCCCCCGCGCGACTGGCATTATTGACGCATGCAGTGATGTAGGAATGCAAAAAGCTGAGGTGAACAGAACAAAAGGACGGGATCCAGGCACGGTCATTCAGCATAGCAACGACAACCTGAAAAATCTCAGGCGCAACCCATCCCTCGCGCTCTTCC